AAACGAATGATATCAACAAGTGATACGAAATTACATTCATCTGCAAAAAAAACAGGCCACTTATCTTCTAATTTGCTGCAGCGCTAATTCTTTTTTTCAGTGTAAGTTCTTAACATTCTTTCAGTTAAATTCATATGGCATATTCTATGCTCGGAGACTGAGAGAGAATTATTTATTTTTTTGGTATCTCTCAATAATTTAGAATTTAACCTGACGTTAATTATTTATGTCAAATCTTTTTTTATACAAATGATATGTGTGTGTGTATATATATATATATATATGTGTTCATTAAAGCTATATAAATAATAAAAATAGTAATAAGACTTGGCTTTCACTTTTTTTGGTACAATAAAAATAGTATCACTTGGTGCATTATAATTAACAAATGTATTGTTCAAAACTTTACAAATCAAAAGAATTGGACATTTCGGTTCCGTTCGAGTTATCATCAGTGAGATAATGTAGATTCGAAAATAAATTACCAAGTACCAAAAGGGTAAGTTTAAAAGAGTATCTGAGCCAGAATTTTTTCCACATTTGAGAAACAACAATTAGCTGTTTGGCTGAGTGAGTACAGCTGCTAATTTATGACCAGTATATCAAAAAAGTAAAGTAATTATGAAAGAATGGATACTCTAAACCTCGTTTAGAGTATTGGATCGTATCGAATAAAATGTTGAAAAATAAAAACACATTGAAAATATAAGTAATTGAATAATTGAGAAATTTTTTAAAATATGTATTTTCTTATTAATCTGTGAAGAACAATATTGAGGATGTAATTCTCGCACTAAACTTGCACTAAACTAGTGCTCAGAATTAGTTGCAGAAGCGCTGCTTTTTTAGATTATCTTTTTCCTTTATTATCGCTCAACGCTCAATGGCCGATCAATTGATAAATGGAACGAGTTTTTTTATGTATGCGCGATGATGATGCAGCGAATACAATATAGTCAAAATGTAGAAAAAATAGATACTACGTGCCTAAAGAAGGCCGAAAAGAAGCCAACTTACAACAATGCAACAGTATAGTTTGTACAACAGTATAGTTTCATACAACAGTATAGTTTGTAATAGCGTTGAACATGTCGAATTTTGTGCCTGGAAACTACGATTTGCGGACAGCATTGATTTTCTATTACCATTTGAAGAAAACTGCTGCAGAATCGAATGCTTGTCGAAGCTTACGGTGAGCATGCTCTTGGTAAATCACTTTGAGTGGTTTAAAAAATTCGAAAGTAGCGATTTTGACGTGAGAAACGAAGAACGTGGAAAACCACCGAAAAAATTTGAAGACAGTGAATTGCAAGCATTGTTGGATGAGGATGACGCTCAAACTCAACAACAATTCGCGGATCAATTGAATGTGACACGAGAAGTCGTCTCCATACGTTTGAAATCCATGGGAAAGATCCAGAAGATGGGAAAATGGGTTTCACGTGAACTGAATGAAAGACAGCAGGAAAACCGAAAAATCACTTGCGAAATGCTGCTCGCCAGGTACAAAAGAAAGTCATTTCTCCATCGAATTGTGACTAGCGGTGAAAAGTGGATATATTTTGAGAATCCTAAGCGTAAAAGATCATGAGTAACTCTAGGCGAACCATCGACATCGACTGGAAAGCCAAATCGTTATGAACGGAGGACAATGCTCTGTGTTTGGTGGAATCAGAAAGGTGTGATCTATTATGAGCTGCTAAAACTTGGCGAAACCGTTAATACTGAACGCTACCAACAACAAATGATCAATTTGAATCAAGCTTTGTGTGAAAAATGACTGGAATATCAAAAAAGACAAAGTGATTTTGCTTCATGATAATGCATCACACAGCAAAATTGGTCAAGGAAACGATTGAGATATTTGGTTGGGAAATACTTCCGCATGCGGCTTACTCACCAGACTTGGCTCCGTCTGATTACCACTTATTTGATATATTTATCGATGGGACACGCACTTGCTCAGCAGCGCTTCTTACGAAGATGTACGAAAATGGGTAGATGACTGGTTTGGCTCAAAAGAGCAACAATTTTTTTGGTGACATCCACAAATTGTCAAACAGATGAAAAAAATGTATAGCTATTGGGCAATACTTCGAATAAAATATTTTTTATCATTTTCATGCAATAAACGTATTTTCTATAAAAAAATTCCGGTTTCATATTTACATCCCTTTAAAATATAAAAAAATTATTATAATTTAAACAAATTTTTTAATACATATGAGCGACTAACATATGAACTTTTATTTACTAGGGCCACTTTAATAAAAGTCGTGACACAAAAGGATGCTATGTTTCTTATTGGAAACGGCTAATAATTCTTATTCTTCTTTAATAAATGACACCTACTCTCGGAAAATAAGAAGTGGATCAATACCAGAAAGAGTGATAATTATTTTTAAAAAATTAACTCAGATCGAAGAAGAAAAAACGGCATTATCATCTTGACAAATGTGGTACTATAGCTATAAAAATTGCTTATATACCTATTTATACACCTTACACCTTACATTCATTAACAAACTGAAACACGACGGCACCAATCACGAAAAGGTTCGCTTATGATCTTGATTCTTACTAAAGTGACTCTTTATTAATAACGAGTATATAACTGAAGTGAGTATATAACTGAAGTTCACTGCGCCAACAACTTTCTAATAATACTGGTTCTAATAATAACCGATCCCTCAAAATAACAAATCTAACCAATTCCCCAAAAGATAGTCAAATAAGGCGCGCTCGCCCGACCTACTACTACAAAGTATTGTATGAATTGGAAACCGGTTTTTGGCTGACAAGCGCCGCAAGTCTCCATAGCTCGGATGCTTGCCAGGCTATCCTCGTTTCTCACGGTCCGTGCGCTAAGGCGTATACATTTGGCAGTAGTATTCGGCTATTTTTAAGGATTAATTATCTCTTTAACCATTGGGGAAACTTACAAAATGATACAAGACTTTTCGACTCAGTTTAGTCCGCCTACCTCTCCATGAAATATTTGGCAATTATTTCCAGACACCCTGTATATATATATATATA